TGCGCCACTCGCTACTTTTACGTGGCCTAAAAATCAGGTGTGTGATTCGCGTCCGGTTTTACTTTCCCTGTGATTTGGTATTTTACTCAGATTAAAACGAACAACATTCGGGGGATATTCGGGGGCCTTATCAATCGACACAGAAGAGCTAGTCAAATTCAGGGGAATCAGTGGGTCCTGTAGTATTCGTAAATGGAAATTACATTCCCATTTCTTTTGTAATTCCTATTCAATAATTGTAAATGTTTCTCCTTGTTCCCTTCCCCGTTTTTCCCTCAGATTGTAAAATTTGGATTACCAAGTCAGCGCGTCGTTAAAATCAGCTCATTTAAAGTAGCACAAATTCATCTGTGTTGTCTGGTGCCCTCTGAGCGGCCTGGCCCTTCATTAAAATTAATTTGCACATTTCTGCACACGGAAGGCTCGAAGGCCCAAAAGGAAATGTTTCCTTGTGAATGCGTGTGCAATTTTGATTTACAATTGTAAACTATAAGTGGTAATGTTAGAAATTCAATAAATAGCAAAGCGCACCAGAATAGCTGGTGCAATCATGCGTTTTGTGCAGTTCAGCCCATCGAACGATTGCCTATTAATGAATTTCACTGCTTTGTACTCTTGTCTATGCGAAATATCAAACATTGGAAAATAGTTAAAAATTTCACGCACCAGCGCATGAAAGCTGAATTCGAAACCTTGAAAGGCGAATATCTTTCCGTGATTCCCTAGTTAATAGTTTAGCCGCCAAAATTCTCACTAGGCCGCAGGTGATACTCAACAGCGAGGGAACGCTGAATTTGAATAGACAGGGTTGAGCGTGGACAGGGAGTTATTACCCTAAAATTTCAGGTTCCTAGACCCTGTGGTTCTTGAGATAATAAATTACCTGTAAAAACTTTCACTAGCCCTAGGTGATACCCGGGAGCGTGGGAACGCTGAATTTGAATGGGCAAGGCTGAGCGTGGGCAGGGGGTCATTACCTTAAAATTTCAGCCTTCTAGACAGCGTGGTTCCTGAGATATTGATTTACCCGTAAAAAACTTTCACGGGGCCGTACGAGCTACCCGCGGGTACGGGAAGGCTGAATTTAAATTTACCGCGTCACCCGTTGGCGAGGAACTATTCCAAAATTTCAGCCGCCTAGCTTTTGTGGTTCCCGAGTTGAAAGTGCGC